CACCCCGGGTTCGGGGCTCGTCCTAGGCTTGCATGCCAGGAGAGTCCAGGCTTCCCGGGGCCTGAAATAAAATCATCTCGTGCTTTTTACATCAGAGTGTGTCTCGGACTGTCTGTGGGGGTCTTTTGGGAGAATTTCGGGCATAACAAAACAACCCTGAGAAAGTGGCTGGTTCTAGCCAAGAGAGACACAATCAGGGCTGACCTCCCCTGATACACCTGCAGGTCACACGTCCTCCTGCAGCACCTTCCCTCTCCCCAGGGACCCCTTCCCTCCATGCCCAAGGTGGAGCTGTGGCCTAGAGGGCCAGGTGCTTGGCTGGAGGGTGGGAACTCTGAGGTCAATCAGCCCATGAGTCGCCAGGCGGGTGCCTGGGCCTGCTCAGGGCTCCAGTCCCCTCCACCCTCATTCTCCGTGGCTGTGGCCTGCCTGGCCAGCCCTCCCACTACCTCCTCCCGCTGCTTCCTCCCCTGCTCCTGGTGCTGGGCAGAAGCCATTCAGTCACTCCCGCTGGATCCCAGGTCCTCATGGACTGGAACCCTACATGCCGAGTGGGCCAGTAGGACCCTGCAGCCGTGGAAGGCCCCCTCGGCTCCCCACCTCCCGAGCCACAACACCCACGTGTAAGTGCATCCTTATTATTCCCTCCAAAATCTGTGGAAAAATTCGCATTATACATGGCAAAATATGGTTGATTTTTCATCCTGCATCCCCCTCGTACACCCCTCCTGAGTCTCCAGTGTCCCGGGGTCACTGTGCTCACCCCTCGCTGGGCTCCCTCTTGTAAATGAGGCCACGCAGCAGTCAGTGTTTTATTCCCGGTTACATCACTTAGAATAGTGGCCTCCGTCCACCCAGCTTGCTGTGTTAGCATCGTCACGTACAACTCAAGTACACAGACCCACACACAAGTCGCAGCTTATCCAACTGTTATGAGGCAACCGCCCTTCTACACGGAGTTCATTTAAACACAGTCTTCCAGTCACCCAGACGCCACCCACATGTTCACTCACAAACGCCTTCCCTCCTAAGAGTCACCACGACCCTGACCTTCACCTCATTTCCTTGACAGTCACAGTGCTGTCACCCAAATCCTAGAGCATCCCTAGGCACTATGGTTTGATTTGCTGGGTGGTTTCCTACAATGTGGATTTTACTGCTTACCTCCCTATGGTATAGATTATTATGCTAATCTTTTTTCTGTATTTCTTGGAAAATTAAGTGACTAGATGTAGAGGTTTAATCAGATTCATGTTCAGTTTTTTGGACAGGACCCTCACGGGGTGAGAAGGGGTGTTACCAGAAGACACAGGATCCTCGGCTTCCTTCTTGTGATGTCAACAGCTGCTTACACGAAATGCCTAAATTCACTAATTCATTAAGGATTAAAAAATGGTAATATTCCAATTTTATAGTTCATTACTTATTTAGTGAGAAATTTCACATCTACTATTTGGGTACATAATATGGTGGATACAAAAAGGAAAAATGTTTGATTCTCTTTACTTACCAATTTTTAAAATAAAGAGCTGGTTGCCTAGAACTCCCCGAGGGCTTTCACTTGGTTTTCTCTGTTGCTAGTGTTTGTGTGTACGCGGCCATGGGTTTTCTATCACGATGAATTCAGGGATTTAATCAGATGTGATATGCTTCAATCCATCAGGTATTTTATTATTGACACTAATGTTGCCCATCCCATCTTTAGCAAATGAAAGACTCCACACTATCCCCAAGTCCTATTGACACGACTAGTGTTTTAATTTCAAAATATTAAGGTTCCATGGACTGATTTTGCAGTGCTTCAGTCAGAGCTGTGCGTGTGCCCATGAGCCACACAGGGTTCTTGACTGGTTTCTGTGCACCCCCCGCCCCCACGTGACTTCCACGGAGTTTTAGCTCCCTGCGTGCTCAGGGAGCCCAGGGCCTTCCAGCGTAACAGTCAGCACCGGTGGTACTTGTCTTTCCATTCCTGAGAAACTTCACTTAGAGGAACAATCTTCATTTTCGTACAAGTTGCTGCAAAAGGCATAAATTCATCCTTCTTTGTCTGGGTAGGACTCCATGGCACACCCACACGACATTTCATTATTTCCTCTGGTGAACTGATGGACACTCGGGTGATGGCACGCCTCTGCGACCACACCGAGCCACAGCAAACGGCCTCTGTGACCACACTGTGCCACAGTGAACAGCCTCTGCAGCTGCACCATGCTGCAGTGAATGGCCTCTGTGACCGCACCGTGCCATGGTGAACAGCCTCTGAGACTACACCGTGCTGCAGTGAACAGCCTCTGAGGCCGCACCATGCCGCAGTGAACGGCCTCTGTGGCCTCACTCGTTCACTGCAGTGAATGGCCTCTGAGGCTGCACCGTGCCACAGTGAACAGCCTCTGTGACCACACTGTGCCGCAGTGAACAGCCTCTGTGACCGCACCGGGTTGCAGTGAACGGCCTCTGTGGCCTCACTGTGCCGCAGTGAACGGCCTCTGTGACCACACCGGGTCACAGTGAACAGCCTCTGTGACCACACTGTGCCACAGTGAACGGCCTCTGTGACCACACTGTGCCTCAGTGAACAGCCTCTGTGACCGCACCGGGTCACAGTGAACGGCCTCTGTGACCGCACCAGGTCACAGTGAACAACCTCTGAGACTACACCGTGCTGCAGTGAATGGCCTCTATGGCCTCACTCGTTCGCTGCAGTGAATGGCCTCTGAGGCCGCACCGTGCCACGGTGAACATCCCAGCACAGGTTTCTTTCATATACATAGTTTAAACTTTCCTCATAACCTCTAATATTGTATATATTCTACTCTCAAAACAGATTTGAAGGATGAGACAATATCCCTCATGAAGTTTAATTCATAAAAAACAGAGTTTATGTGATAACGTGCAATTTTGTATTGTCGCTAGACCACATTTTCTTTTGGAAGTGGGCTTATAACCCTAGTGTTGCCCCGTGGAGGAGGCGGCCACTCTGCGATTTTCTCAATAATCCTCTTCTCCGTTACAGAAGCTGAGCTTTTGTGTTAAGAAAATGAGACACCCTATTTTTCACTAAGTTGTGAGTATGCTTTACCGAATCCTCATAGTTAACCCAAAGATGAGCTGTGCTGAAGTCTGGGTTGATGGTAAAACAAGCATTGCACAAAGCTGACCGGGTGAAACGCAGGCCTGAGGATCAGGATGTAGCTGGGTGAGGACGGACTGCCTCAGCTGAAGGGACGGACCTTCGTGGGGGAACAGGCAGAAGGCCGAGGAGCAGCACAGAGTCCTCAGGAAAGCAACGTCCTGCCAGGGAGGACAATCCACGTTTCTGAAGGCCGGGGAAGGCAAGGCGGGGAAGTGCTCGAGGCTCAGAACAGCACCATCCTATCCTGTAGTGTCTC